TTTTTTTTTTTTGTATATCTGTCGATCTATTATGAGTACGACATGTCAGAAGAGTACTATGAACGAGATCTAGGCTAGGTTCCGCAAGTTTCGGCTTTTACAAACTGCGATCTTGAATTTTTTTTTTTTTGCGAAATGGAGTAAAGATGCGATTTTCAGAAAAGAACGAAATCCAGTTTCTGAGAATATGGCAACCTCCGACTATGCCTAACGCAATATTGGTAGGCTTCGCAAGATTTCGGTTTTCAAAAAAAAATTGCGAGATAGAAAGGAAATTCGATTTTCATAAAAGAATAATTTCAGTTTCCGAGAATATGACCACTTCTATCGTTATCCCAATATGCCTAGAGAACGAAATACTAACTTCAGAAATTTCAGCTATGTATGCGAAAATATCAGAGAAACGAAAAGCTACTATCGGTAATTTTCAGACAAAACGAAATGCGATTTATCAGAAATTTTCAGATATTTGTTACGTAAAAAAACGAAATACTAATATCAAAAATTTTCAGGTAAAACGAAATGCGAATATCAGAACTTTTCAGATAGTTGTTGCGAGAAAAACAAATTCTGAGATTTGACGAAGTCCTACTTGCGTTACTAATGAGTGATCAATAGATCAGCAAGCTGGCTACTTGATTGAGCGGGGCCTCTGAATCCGATACCAAACTGTTGCATACTGTAACGTGCAGACCACAACTAGAACCGACCTCTCAATACAAAGTACAAGATAACACAGCGGAAGACTTAGATACGAACGATCCGAACAATCAATATTGCAATGCAGCCCTGAACACACATCATCATCATCGTTATCTGGTGTGAAGGGGGTCTGGCGCTTCACACAAGAAGACTACGCCAGCCCCAACCATACGCAGACGAAGAAGGAGGGGTTAGACGAAGAGGAGGGGAAGATGGGAATGTCGTCAACACCAAGTCTCAGTACAGGCCCAAATAGTCCCTCGCCGAAATGTCTGAATCCCAAATGTCCAGTCTGGATCCAATGTCGTCAAGTCTCAAGTCACAACTCGTTCTCTCTCTGTCATAGTCTGAGAAGTCAGGTGGTGAGAGGGTGAGAAGAGATGGTGGACTTAGAAGAGGAAGAAGAAGAACTCTCTCTCTCTCTCTGTGTCCAGTACTAACCTGTGAAGTTGGCGCTTTGATGCAGGTACCTCGAAGATGGAGCTGGAGCTATGGCACCACAGGTAAGTACCGCTGGCCTCCGCCAGCCATCTCCCCCAACTCTATGATCTACCACCTAATAGCGCCCAGCGCTGAAGACTACCACTATGGCTATGGGCGCCCAGCGCCGAAGACTACTACTAGAGCTAATACTACTGCCTAGCGCTGAAGACTACTGCAGCGCTCCTCCTGAGTGCTGCGGCCGAATCCTGAAGACTACTCGTGCCTACTGACAACTACCTGCCCGTGAAGTGCATGGGAACTTCYTATGTACTACCGGGTGTGCCTCCTGACTCGTGCGAGCAGTCCAGGAGGCTGCTCTTGCCAATGCCGAAGGGAGGCAGGGGCTGCAGCTGCAGCTCCTGCTCAAGCTCGTGAGGAACAG